TTCAGCGATCACTGAACATACTCAGTGATGATTGCTGGAACTGAAAATACAGAAACACAAATACAACGTGAAAGGGAAAAGGGATTATCATCAAATCACTGAGAGAGAGGATCAACACAAGCCCTCACCCACATGCATGTATTTTCATTACTTCACATATATATATATATATCATGCATATAAAAGAACATATATATATATATATATACCCATGTATTATGCATATATCTTTATGCATAAAATACACATATTCACGTTTTTAACCCATGTAAGCATGTATCCATATGAACAATTAATTCACATAATAAATACCTTGGGTAATAATCAAGACCTGATTATCACACATAACACATATCAGTGCCCTTTACCCTTACTGTATGGCCCTTGGATGTGGCAACCTCTGCATAGAATTCCCTTACAAGGGAGAGGTTGAATCCAGTAGGTACAACACAAAATATTTCTCGTCCAAGCCTGGTAATGGCCTCTTTGACGAATGAGAATTCCTTCAAACTCTTAGGGCTAAAACCCTAGTAGCCAAAGCTTCTTTAGAAGCCATATTACCAAAATGGTCATATGCTTCTCTACAACTGGAAGTCCTAAAGGAGAAATTGATTATCCCAGACTTGGTTTGGTTTGGTGGTGGTGATACTACCTTTTTGTCTTTGGCAACTTTCTTCCTTGGGGTCTGAATCTGCTCAACAACTATTGCTTCACTGTCTTCCTCAGTTTCTACAGCCATCTCCTCACTATCTATAGCAACATCCTCATCTTGAGAAGCATCATCCTCAGAACTCTCGTCCTCCTCCTCTTCAAAATCAGAGTAGTTTACTATCCCCTTTTCTTTCCCTCCTTCAGCATTGGCCTTTTTGGTGGCATTGATCACCACATTCACAACCTCTTCTTCCCTTTCTTTTGGTTGTGATTGTCGTGCCAAAATGTTTTTGATACTGGTTTGTTTGGATTCGTTAGGCTTCAAAAAAGAATTAGGTTTTGTTTTGGCTTGGGCAGATGTAGTTACCGGATTGCTTTCCATTGTAGGAGCAATGGGTGATTCTCCTAAAATGAAGGTAGTGGCATGGAATGCATCATCTAAAACATGGGATGTTGGTGGATTGGGTTTCTCAACAGAGTTGGGTAGGGTTTTTGAGTTATAAGCAGAATGCTAATTGGTTTGAGGACTTGGGGGTAGAGGGAAATGACCACCAAACAATAAAACTTGGTTTTCATCATTTTTGGGTGATGAGGGTTCCTTATTGATGTCAATATTGAGGGCTCTGTGGCTAGAAGAACTGGTATAAACAGAATGGGATGAAGTTTTGGTTATTGAATGTTGGGTTGTACCTTGATCAACAGCCCCTTGTTTTGAGCTTCTTCAAATGGTGGCTTTCTGGTCGATTTTGACCTAGCGACTGTCTTCGACTTTGTTGCTTCAACAACAGCAGGTAGAACAACCTCCATGGATTTAGTTTCTGGTGCTTTCTTCCTTAGGCTTCTTCATCTTTCATTTGGTTGATCTGCACTAGTTCATCATTCTTTCTTCTTTGCTTTCAGTTTGACTCTCCCCATGCTTAAAACATGTTTGAATACCCCTGGACCCCACAGTAAACTACAAGATTTGTTTATGTACATAAAATAAGTAAAAGTTATTGTTTGGATACAAATGGTTATTATAGGGAAACAATTGTGGGTTTTTTGGTTGGGAAGGAATCGAATTAAGGGAGTTGAGTGGGTTGTAGTCACAAACCAACTAAGGGTTAAGGATGGTACCAAGGTAGATGTTTAGGCTAATGATGTTATTGGTATGGGAAATGGTGAGAATAAGATTCCTTCTGCCAAAAATCTGCTTTTCAAAAGGCATCTTTGCAATCTTAAGTGTGTTTTCGGCTGACAAGACCTATTAGCCAGGTGCAGGTTGTTGTAGCACTGTAAGAAAATTTCATTAGCAACTGTACCTTTTTCATAAAAATCTTGTTATTATGAAAAAACACAGAACTAACCAAACCTTCTAAAATAGATTGCTTGTATTTACATATGTATATTGTTTAAAGGCTGTGACAACTTTCATTAACAAATTCTAGGAATGAGTGATTGTTGATCCTCTCTCTCCGTGATTTGATGATGATCCCTTTTACCTTACAAAGTATATTTTCTCTGTATTCAGTTTCAACGATCATCAGTGAGTATGTATTGTAATTCGTTTAGAGACCAGTATCCTTCAAGAAGACAAAACTCACACCACAGATCCTTTAGCGATGTCGAAGACAGAAGCTGAAGATTAGAGACCAGAAAGTTCATGATCAGAAGCGGTTTTCAGTGATAACAAGCTCGTCTACACAAGTGTGAAATCTGCACAAGATTCTTCGGATATTGATGAGACCTTCAACGTCATTCCAGTGTTCAACAAGTGAAGAGCATATTACTTCTTATATTTTTTCTTGTAGCAAGTCTTTTCTTATTACTATCTGTAATTTTGTGTGTATTTTAGATTGTTTAGATAGGTTATGTATTCTATCTCTTCCGTAAACAATTTGTAAAATTTGTATTGATCTTCTTAATCAATATATAATTTCTGAAAATGAAAGTTGTTGTATTTGTATTCATCTCCCCCCTTCTACAAATTGTTACCTATAAAATCTTGTACATCCAGCTAAGACCAACAAGTGGTATTAGAGCAATGTTTGTTTTTGTGTTGTATTGTTCGTTTATTGCTGTTTTATTATCTCTTCTTCTCTAGATAATTTATTCCCATCAAAATGGCTTTGCAAAACACTAGCACAAACTTTCACGACAATGACTCCCACTACAACAAAAACAATTTTATAGGACACTTTTTTGGGACACTTTTCAATACACGTCCTTTAAAAAGGGCTAATACGACACATTATTTTATGAGTCCTATTTAATTTAATTTAATATGACTCTTATTTTTGATGTCTTATAAAGCTCTTTTAGTGTCCTATCATGTACGTCTAATATGACATTTTTCAATGTCATATTATTTTAGAGTCTAATACGAAACTTTTTAAGTGTTATATTATTTAAAAGACTAATAGGACATTTTAAAGTGTCATATTATTTTAGAAATTAATAGAACATTTTTAAGTGTCGTATTAATTTTAAAAGTTAATAAGACATTTTTGATCGTTATATTAATATTTAAAAGCTAATAGGACATTTAAAGTGCGCTATTAGAATTTAAAATAATATAAATAATATATTATATTTAAAATCATTTTTAACATCAAATCTAGCCCAAATGTGACAAGCCCTGTTAATATATAATCCTAAGCCTAAGCCCGTTTTCTTAAACCCAAAGCCCTTTCCTGCGTTACCATTTCCCCTTCACGGGCTTCACATGATCGACTCCCCTGTACAAAGCTACGATTGGTACTCCCCTGTACCTACTTACGAAGCTATGATCGGAAATTTTGAAGGAACTCTCGAAGTCCTCACTGTTTACTTGATCGACTCTTCCATCTCCCTCACTGTTTGCGGTCGATCAATTCTACCCTGAGAATCTCAAAGCATCAGACGATGATCCTTCTGTTTAAAGGTAACATTTTCATTATCTGCCTTCGATCATCCTTGTTCTATACTAGGTTAGCGAATCTATTTTGAAATGTATCATTGAGTTATTTGATTTATATTTTCGGGATGATTTAATTCGAATTTAGCATTGATTTGCCTTGTTCTATACTAGATTAGCTTAAATATGTCTACTAAGGGATTTATCAAATTTGTATCATATATTACTGCATTATTCATCATATATATGTTGTATTTGGTTAAGTCCTACACTGGATTTTGTTGGATTCCTTGAAATCATTTTAGTCTACACCAATTGTAACACTAGCATTGCCTACTTGCAGCTATTTGTTTGAAGTGATAACTTTCCTATTATTGAGCCTTCCACCTCGTGGTCTGAATAATTTCTATATTTCAAAAAGACTAAGGAATCCATGATTAAGTTGAGGACATTCATTGGTCAAGACTTTCTATAAAGAAGGAAATATTAAATTAGACCATTTATCCTTGCATCCAAATGAATCCTTGTGATTCATGTACAAAGGCATTCAGAACTCTTGCTTATTCAACTCTTATTCATTTAGTTTTATGAAACCCCACACCCATATTAAGATAAAACATGGTAATGATAATATCGGTTTTAAAGATGGTCATTCTATTACTGCACCATCATTTATGCTAAATGGTTATAATATAACCAAGTTGTTATAACATTCTTGAAATTCTCACATGTTATATAGATTTCGTTATTGCACATAGAATTTTTGTTTTTGTTTTTTATGCCCATGGTTTCATCTGTTGGCCTCCAAAACAGCTATGCCCTTTGAAAGTGTTCCCCAAACTTCTAGAATAACAAGTCCAAAAAATCCAATCCACCTTACGTTAAAAAAAACTGATCCAAAGGGAACAAAAACATATGCTAGAAAGCATAACCCAAGAAGATTATGAAGACACTGATGGAGGGGGGAAGATAACTCCACTAGAACAATAACATATGCTAGAAAGCATAACCCATTCCATGACATCAAACTTATGATCAGTTAACTGTTCAATGTTTAGACCCAACTCAAACAGTAAATTTGCCACTCTCACTCGTCAAGCCCCACAACTCAAAAAAGAAGTGTGGATGTAATAAGCAAAGAAGCGCCTACTATACTGTAACCAAATACTGCTATAGATCAGGTATGTTTTCCTCTATGCTAGAGATTATATTACGGTTGCTGTATAAATTGTGAACTTAGATACAACATGCATTGGTCAGATCTTATTGCTAGTAAATCATTGCTCCTATAGTGAAACTGAGAGTTTCCTCTTCCACTCTTCATATCCATGTATTCTAAGGATTCTGAGGAAGGAAAAAACCACCATGCAGTTACATAAAAATTGCAATCTGAACCCCCAAAATGATCTAATGAAAAGCAAAAAACTGGGCAACAGCTTCATGCATATTTTTATGTTGGTTATTTGTTCTTCTATCTTGAGATTCAAATTTAAGAAATCTTGTTCTGTTTGTTTCAAACACTATAAATTGTTTATTTAAAGCAATTATATCCGACATAATAAGAAATTTACCCCCTGATATATGTACATGTCACTTGAAAAAATTTCAATATGATGTTTTGAGAAGGAACTAATATTTATGGTGCACTTCAATCAGCACAAGGAACCAATTTCATGGCAACGCATTAGAGTGCACATGTGCACATTATTGTATCTCCCAAAACCAAGACTACTTCAAGAGGTAGCATGATGGATATCATTTGAAACCGGCCATGCCTACTTCACGGGATGAGGGTGTGGTTCATAGTGTTGGGTACATAATTCATTAGTTGTAGTTCCATGTGATGCATCATGCATTAATTGGGTGCCAGCACAACATGGTAATATGATGCAACACACGATAGAATTCTATCTATATATGCATTATACAAAAACTCTTCCATTCTATAATTTGTCTTTATTGAACCTTATAAAGATTGCTGCAATATTTCTTGCTTTGCATATCAGCTCCATCATCAAGAAGGTTTCCAACATAAATTGTTCCTCTTCCCCACAAAGAAAACGAGCCTAGATCGTCTTCCGACCTCCTGCTCCTGCTGCTGCTGCTTTACTTCCCCCACAAAGAAAACCTTATAAAGTCCCCTACAGCCCTCACTGTTTGCCATCATCAAGTCCTCTACACCTCTGCACGCTGAGAATCTCAAACTCAAAGCCCTCACTGTTTGTGATGTGTTGTTGAAAAACCGACATTTTAAACTTTCTGTCCAGCTTTCATGTGTCAACTTCATCACTGTTTTTGACTATCAAGAAGATTCGTTGACAGAAAACACAAAACATAAACATTGAACTCCAGACTCTTATCTTTCCATCAATCTCTGATTCATACATTTTGGATGAAAATTGAGTGAGTTGTGCATGTTTCTCACAGCTGCGCAAAACAGTCGTTAAAACAAACATTTGTCTTTGCAAACCTCGTTGAATAAACTTTGAAGCTCAGAGCTTGAAACTTTAAGATCAGATTAGGGAGTGACATAATATAACAAAATCGTAGCTTGAATCTATGAATAACATATAAGAGATCACCGTTCTGAAATTAGGAAGAAAGGAGTAAAGTACGTAGCTTCTGTCCAGCACCCATCTACAGATTTTGACAGAGAATAAGTAGTATCTGCACATTGAATTTGAGAAAACTAAAAATATCAAAGATGTAGATATATGTTTTATCTTTCCAATTCAACAGGAATCATGAATTTTGTAGCTTCGAGGTGAAAGTTGTGCGCAAAAAGCTACAGCAGCGCAAAGCTGACAGCGCAAAAATTCTTACCGGGTATGCTTGTAATCTATGCAGTAGTTATAGATCAGTCATCTCTAGGAACTTATTGAATGATAATCATTTTATTTACACAGTTTTAGTCTTTACAATTAACATGGTTAGTGAAGTTTAAGATCAATTGTTGCTTGGAGGGATATTAGTTGGAATGAATTAGATGATTATGAATGTTGGTTTTTAGTAAGATGTACCATTCCTCCATTATTAGAAGTTTAAGTATAAAATTTGAATTATTAATTGATCCATATGATGATTTTATTAGCAACTTAAGGTGTTATCTGTTGTACTCATTTATATTGGCTTCGGAGGATTGGCCATATTCTTGTTGAATATCAATACATTGTATGTAACCAAATGGTGATCGAATCCATAATATACATGTTTACTTTTACGCACTAAGTTTTCTACATACATTAATTTATTTGAGTTTTAAAGAAGTTCTAAATTACTTGATGCAGGGTGAAGTTTACAAGATTGTTGAAAACCAATTATTAAAATAAGGTAGTGTTTTAGAATGCATTTTGGAATTTCCACTTTCTCCAACATAGAAAAAGGTAATTTACCCTTTTGTTGTCCTGTTGTCGGTGGTTTCAAGAGACGGGTTTCATGTTGGCAATGGAATCAATTGGAAAGGGTAGGTTTTCTCAAAGATGCGTAACAACACAGTTACCAATAGAATGACAGTAAGCCCCTATTCTATTACTGTTGCATCTAATCAAGAAAATGATAGATTTTGATTTTATAAATCTTGTTAATTGGTAGAGTGTTGGAAATACACTAAGGTGACACTATAAAACCTATCTTTTGGAATACGAATTGGCACATGATGACGTAGATGGGGAGTGTTGCTTATTGTGTCACAGGTAACTATAATTCCTTTTGTTTGCTTTGCTAGTGTAAACATGGTTGGTTGGTTGTTGAGTGTGCAAACAGTAGCACAACGGGGGATTTGGTAAACTGTAGGATATATGGGTATGGACGCATTTCGGTTTTGACAGAAGACAGGGTCTTGGTGCCTTTAAGGTATGCATGCAAACTCCTTCTTTCTGTTCCTTTCAATTCCTAGGCTAAAATAGTTCCTTAGGTAGTTAAACACTTCCATGGTTGATCACTGACGTTCTTATTCATTATGACTAGTTTTGTGCACCGCACACGCGCGGTGATGATAATTTTTTAGATAAAAAATCAAACTAATATTGAAATATTACAATGTCAGTTCATGCATATATTATTTTCTTTTATTAGAGTTATAAAATATTAATATAATGATTACTTTATTGACCTTCATATTTTTTTTGTTCATGTTGTTATCCTCCCAATTGTTGATATGTTACTATCAATTCTTCTAATACATAATTAAAAATTTAAACCATCATTAAACAAATCTCTTCAAAATATTAAACAGGACAATTTTTTTGAGTTCCCGAATATATAAAGAAAATTAAAATTCTCTCTTTCTCATACAAAGTTCTTAATCCCACCGCCTGCATAGCAAAATCAGTTTATACCCAATAAAAAACATCATTTTTTTCATTATGTATTTTAAATATGATATTATATAAATAAATAAATAAAGCTTTAAACAAATTTAAATAATTTTAAGCATAATAAAACAAAGAACATATATCATATAGTATAAATAATTTAATAAAAGCAAACAAATACACATACAAAAAACCACATGAATATCACATTTTATTTGTTTTCAAATAAATAAATTTATAAACATCATTTTAAGTATTCTTTTAAATAATAGACAGTCACATGATATATACTGGTTTATTATTAACCATAATACAAAGAATGACACAAAAAATACAAATTGAGAAACTCTATAAATATAAATGATAGAGAATAAAATTTATAATAACAAAACTCCATATAGATCAGTTGGGTTCAAGTATGTGCGTTAAAGATTGTATTCAAGTTCTCTTTTATTAAGCTTTGTAATAGTTAGGCTTTAATGTTTTCCTTAGTATAAATAGTGATTAGTCTTGTAATTGTCATTAACTTCTGCAATTAATTTGATTAGTGCTGTAATATTCTCTCTCAAGAAATACAAAGAAGATTGTTGGTGAAAATTCTTTCTACTCATATTCTTGATCTTCATCTTGAAGATTAATTCTGAATTTGTATGATTTTGGGCATTTCAAGATCACACTTAATCATAATCTGATTGTTGTCAGGAAAAAAAAAACTTAGAATAAAAAATATTAATAAAACAAAATTACGCAAAATAAAAAGACACATAAAAAGAACACTCACACAACATAAATAACTTCCAAAAATAAGGATGATGAAGAACTATAGTCAATAAAATATAATAGAGAATAAATCTTTGAACAAAACATTCGTCAATAACATATAACCCACACAAATAATAATTAAGATGTAATATTTGTTACCGGAAAAGTTTATAGATGAATACCATTCGGTATGGACAATAAAAACATTCTACATAACAAAAAATACAATATATAATATATAGAAAAACAAATGTAATAATAATTAACAAAATATAATAACATGGAATAAGAAACACTCATCAACAACAAATAACTCACACAAATCATAAATATAAAATGTAACAATTCTCACATGAATTTTATGGAGGAAGAACAACGATATCTACGATAAAAAAGTTCTGCAAAAAAAAAAAAACACAACAAATCAATAACAACAAATAACTTAAACAAAAACATAAAATAAACCATAAAGAATGTAGTTTTCATCTTGATTTAGACATTCGATTGTGTAGTTTGCAATATGATGGAAAAATTAGTAAAACAAAAGAAAAACATTAAGGTGACGTTTGTTTTTTAACAGGTGCTGAAGTCTGAAGACTGATTTCACTTCTGATTTTTAAGAGGTGGTGTTGAAGTCTAAAATCTGAATCAGTCAGACTGTTTGTTTTTGTAAACTAACAAACGTCTGAAGTTTGAAATCTGAATCAATAGTTTGCTTTTGTAACCAAAAAAACATATGAATATGTATAATTTATGATTTCACTTCTGTTTATATTCCCAAGATTCTTTTAATTCTTCCTTCTCCTCTAGTTCAAGCATTCCATCCTCAATCTCCACCCTCATCCCACTACCATCAACCACCATTCACCACCACTCCTCTAAAATTTAACGCCCAAATCCACCTCTAAAATCGAAACAAATCTCCATCATGATGAAAACTATAGGGACGAAAATACCTTGATTCACAAGGATAAAGGTGCACAACTACTGGTTTGCACAAGAACGAAAACCCACAGGGAAGAAAACCCTCTTGATTTGGGTCGATTTGAAGTCACCAGAGGCGATGGAGGGTGAAGTCGATCGATTGAGACGGTGAGGAGGGTGAAGTCGGTCGATGGAGGTTCAAGTTGATCAATTGAGATGATGAAGTCGATCGAATGATGAAGTAGAAATCGGTTATCTGGATAGTCTTCAAGATTAAGAGGAAAATAAGTTGCTAGGTTATTGTAACATCTCAAAATTTCGAATACTTAAATATAACAAAACTAGTATCCCAAGATCAAACACTTACACTGCAGCGGAAATAAAATTTCTAATTTTACAAATTATATCACCATCTAATTTACAAACTTGAGGAGCATAACTTTGCTCTATATAACAATGTCTTGATCTGCACATAACTTTCTTTGGAGCTAATCTTTATCTATCTTTATTGCACTTTTCTTTCCACTCAAATAGCCGCTTGGGTGAAAAAGTTTTAAAAGAGTTTTGGGTGAGCCTTAGGCCCAGTGAATCCACGGTTTTCATGCACAAACAACTTTTACAATGAACAATTTTCACGAATCTTTATAAATTTAGCATGCCTTGATGAGAATAACACTTTTCACAAAAAAAATATATTATAGTGCGTGTCTAAGTCACAAAGCAACGACGTCATGGGAGATGTCTACCTCATACAACATTACTTGACGAACTTACACAACATGTCCGCACATACGGCTTAGACAAGCTCACAAAGCATGCTTGTCTTTACAAAATCATACTGTAGTACATCCTCATTGACACACAAATACACAAAACACATTATAAAAATATCGCACATTTCACGCATATATAACGTATCAAAACTCTCGAGAAGCTTCAAACAATTTGTGGATAATAAGGCATGCAACTATTGTAACAACCCCCAAATCCATACATTGCATATAACACATATTTCATACATAGAATACATGTTTTCCCCACAAAGGTCCATAATACAAGAGTCTATAACGTGAAATACATAACTCAAAAATTCAAAAAGTACAT